AGGTAAAAGACAGACGCACGGACGGACCCCAATCTATAAGCCTTCAGCAGACTTCGTCTGCGAAGGCTAAAAAAAATCACTAATATAGGGACTGAGATGATCAATCTCCCTTCCGTCACACAATCAGAGTACAATTTCCATCTGGATTCGTACAACCGTCTGGTGCCGTCCGACTATGCCGAAGCGAGGAACTTGGACAACTCTGCAGAAAAGCCTTGCGCTTGCACGAGTTTATCGATAGCCTCCACGCATGAAGATGAAATAACGCGGGGCTCATTGGTAGCGTGCCGTCCGGCTGGAACAACAGATCCGGAAGATCCGGCAGCTCCACTGGCGACTCGACTAGAAGTTCCAGCAACAATGGAAACCAGATCTTCACTGGCCAACTGGGCGCCACCAATGCCAGAATACAGGTGGGCTTGAGTCGTAAATTCTCCAACACTTGGTGCACCAGATGGAAGGGTGGAAATGCGTAAGCGTCTATGTGGCTCCAAGAGATCGATAGAGCTCCCATGGCGAATGCGCTCGTCTCCGGGAGGAGTGACACGTACGTTGGGAGCTTGGCGTTCTGGTGATTGGCAAACAGATCTATCCGGGGACCATCCCAGAGACGAAAAAGCCTGTCCGCCACCCATTGGTGGATCTGCCACTCTGTGTTCTTGAACCGAATATGTCTTGAGAAGGCGTCCGCGGCACTGTTGCGTATCCGCGGAAGGTGGTGAGCCGATAGCTCCACTTGGTTCTCCAGGCACCAAAGGAGAATCTCCTCCGCTAGCTTTGACAATGTGGGGGAACGAGTCCCGCCCTCCTTGTTGATGTACGACACTACTGAGCTTTTGTCTGTCCAAAGCAAGACTCTGTGGTGGTGTGCGACTTCCAGAAAATGTTTCAGAGACAGTAGGACGGTCTGCAACTTCAACCAATTGATGTGGTGGTCCCTGTCACCTGTCTTAGCACTCTGGTGAAGACACATGGTGCCGTGCACAGACCGAAAGGAGGGCGGTAAACTCATAGATTTTGCCCTCTATAGGGAATCTGAGATACCGGCTGCATGATTGGTGAATGGGAATGTGGAGGTAAGCGTTGCTCAAATCCAGCGTCGCCAACCAATCGCCTGAGTGCACCGACAGAAGTACCGAAGATGGTGTTTCCATCTGGAAGCGCTTGAGTTCCACAAACCTGTTCAGCCGACTGAGGTCTAGGACTGGACGCCACCCCCACCCCCACCCCCCCACCCCCACTCTTGGGAACGAGGAAGATGTGGGAATAGAACCGTGGTGATACACGGGGGTTCCCCACTAGGCGTATCGCCCTTTTCTCCAGAAGGCTTGCTACTTCCTGTCGGATCGTCTCTGCCTTGACCTCGTCCCTCGGCAAAAGACCTGAGGGAGGGTGAGACTGAAGAGGAATCCGATACCCACGGGACACTACTTCGAGCGTCCAGGGATCAGAGACCCTCCTGCGCCAGGCTGGTATGTGCTGCATAAGGCGCGATCCCACGGGAAGGAGCAGACGGGGGTTCGAAGCTAGTGCTTCCCGAACTCCATCCTCCAGAATGGGAGGACGAAGAGGGGGAGACTGAGCCGGGGGACCCCGGGGAGGGAGACCCGGAGTCGTACCACCATCCATGTCCAGGTAGCCGGCGAAACCTTCAAAGAGACTCCCCCCCCCCCCGCCCCGCCATGTTTCTCGGGCTTTCGTTGACGCTACCCCCTCCTAGACTTCTTCTGCCCCCTCGAAGGAGACCATGAGCGCTTTGATCCTCGTAGGTTGAGGCTACGAGCGGCGGATTTCCTACCTGGGCTGCCTTGCGGGATCGGGACGGGGGAACCCGTGGAGAAGGCTGTGGTACCACGCGAGTGTCCCACTCAGGAGAACGGTTCGCATAGCACCAATGGGGTATTGATTGACCCAACGGAAGGCATTGGACGTAACCGCTCCGAAACCAGGTTCAAGCTGTTTGTCCTTTTCCCCCAAAGGGTACCATTCGCCACCCCCCCCTCCATCGCCCTCTGAGCCCCCTCCATAGCCTGGGTTACACGAAGTGCCCAGGGGAGTTGGCCTGCGGGTGTGGTCTACATGCCGGCAGCGGGAGAGAAGAGCGCCGATGAAAACAGGTCCAAAGGCGACTCCCCATCTGGGGGGGGGGGTACCACCGGCCTGGTGCAAAACAAGAGTCTCGCGGCCATCACTGCACGGTTCACAACTACAACCTTAACTGCATATTAGTAAGGGACAGCTGGGCTCCGGTTGGTAAGGCGGTCCATGCCAGGAATTGTCCCCCCACTGACCTGAAGGGAGTTGACTTTTGAAGCCAGACTATGCATTCAGACTGTCCAAGCCATCTCTTCACCCTGGGTAAGTAGTTTTCCACCTTGACTTGCACCGGTACAGGGAGGCAACTGGGCCTGTCCCTGTGATTGCGCAATGCACTCAGGCTGCGTCGGTAACGGTAAAGTACCGGTGGATTGAACCGGTTCAGTCTCTAAAAGACATGCCGATTTCATCGTGGGACTAAGTGCCGATGTCGGCGTACCCAGAGGGAACACGCCGTTTATCAACGTCAGTCGCCGTGGTGACCGGGAACTCCGATCTCACCGCGGTTGACCGATGTTAATTAGCCTCAGTAATATCCGATGGGGAAGCCCACTCCACGTTGGGAGAATTGAGATCTACCATCGGTGTTCCCGCACTATCGACCGCCCTTTGCGTTACCTCAGCGGTAAACTGTTCCGGCGGTCTTGTCTCAATCAATGACCCCACCACCTCAAGCAGGGAGTTAAATCGTGACAACTCTCCCAAATTCTCGGCTGTCGAACAGAGGCGAGCCTCGCGGTGACCACCAAGTGTAGTAGGGAAAGATTTCTCAATCCTAGAAGCCGACACACTGGAGCTAGCGGCAGTAAGGGATTTCCCCTTCTTTCCGCGATCTCTACCAGCCTTCAATCGCTTGCCTTCCGCCTTTCACCTTGCTTCGCACATGAGCCACATTTCATGGTCCCACAAATCACAAATACCCTCAAGGCAAACCCCGGAGTCCCTCGCGCAATTAAGGCAGGAGTGACAGCACATATGGGGATCCCACTTGGGCATAAGCGTATAGCAGGAAGAGCATGTCCTACGTTCCGTCTGAGGCGGGACGTTCTTCAACTTTTTTTGAGACTTGGGCATTCTATTAGAGTCTGCAAAAATTACGAAGTGAGACAGAAAAAAGAAACGGGTAAATTCACCACGCCAAAATTCGGAATCAGGTGAAAGTAAGCTGAGCCGGCAATTCAACTAAAAACAGGCAAAAAAAGGCCCCTAATAATGAAAAGCCTTTACCGTAATGAGACGATCGCCACACGAGAAATTCTCAGTCAGAAAACTGTAACCTGTCTTTCGCCTGCTTGTAAAAGCGCGGAGCGTAAAATTATTGCTGCCGTTGTTCAGCGGAAACGAAAGGGAATATCGGATAACGCCTTGTTTGCGTGGCCACCGCGCGCGCGCGCGCGCGCGCGCGCGCGCGGGGTGGTTCCTTAGGAGAGGCCTTTTTCTTCCTATAGGGAATGCTACCCTAAGGTGTTCTTAGTGAACAGGGTATATTCCCTAATAGTTTCCGATTGGGGCTGTAATCTGTAGTTAAGCCTACGAGTAACAAATGGAATTTATTATTTCCATGGACTTTCTGGTAGGTGATGTAGTAAACACATTGGACAGAGCATATCAAAGTTAAGAGAGGTAAGAAACAGATGAACGGACGGACGGACAGAACCCAATCTATAAGCCTTCGACAGACTTCGTCTGCGAAGGCCAATAAAGCAGCATGTAATGACTTTGTAGATTTTTTCAATATTAGGCATTGAGCTCAGTCGTTAATTACCTCTTTACGTTTCTTCAGTTTCACATCATTCAATTTTGATACACTTATGTTGGTCTCACTTTGTTTTTCCCTCAATGCTTCTCGTGCTCTATAGAAAGATAAGATAGTAGTAATGGAATCATTGAATCATTTTTTTTCATTAATTCTTTAATTTTAATGAATATTTTTGGTGAAAAGTGATACATGTAGACCTCTCTCAGATTTGTTTATTTCGTGATGATATCTTCAATTTTCTAATTTTGTCATTTTTGGTAAATAGTGATATTTTCGCTTTGTTAAAAACTGCAAGTCAAATTGCTTTGATACTATACATATTGTTCAGTTCTTTATTTGAAATGTGCATTGCTAACAGCGGAGCTATCTCAGGCGAGAGGCTGCTTGTTTAAATGCTGGATGAAAATACTATGCCATGAAGTCATTCATGGTCCTAGTGATCAGTGTGGCACTAAATAATCTAGAGAATAAACAATGAACTTACTTGACAGTGACCTGTATATCTTCATTTATCGATCTCATTTTACTCTCATGTTGTAGTAGAATCTTGGAAAGTTTATCATGTTTGATTGTGCATTGTCTCTTTAGTTGGTTGACAGTGGCGGTTGTGTCTCTAAGTACATCTTTATGGCCAGACAGCTTGTCCTGCACTCCTTTCAGAGTATCTTCCACTTCCCTGCATATTTGAAATAATTGCTTTAGGAGGAGGAATTGTTATTGATACCGTGGACAGGATTTTTTGGATGGTTAAATTTCATCTTCATTGTCAGATGATATTTTACCTGAGATTTATTTTTGATGAAAGCAGTTGTTTATTCTCACTCATTTATGACAAATGACAGGTAAAACCTGTTTGGTTGTGATGTGTGTGTGTGTGGGGTGGGGGGGTAGTGCTGTAATTCTTGCAGATTCTTCCATCTGTAAACTAAATTTATACAGCATATAAGAGTCGTGTTTCTCAGTTACCTGTTTCCACTGTATTTGTGTCTCCTGTACCTCAAAGTAAACAAGAAACCCATCAGAGATGACAGACCCCACCCTGCATATTTTTTTACAAGCATGTCTGTATTTCTAATAGTGATCCAGATACAATAGTTATGCTGCTGCTGACTCCCTAACCATTAAGCCACCAACCTTTGTTTCTGCAGTTCTGTATTAATAGCCGAGATGAGTTTCACACCTTGTACTGCATTTTCCAAAGATGCTTCTCGTTTACTTTCTAATATACCAAGGTCCTGAATCTTAAAACTGATTTCTTCCTTAGCAGTACGCAGTGCTTGAATGTTGTGTTTAGTGCGCATGATCTCACTTTTCATTCTCTCTGGTGACTGTACTATGAGAGACCGCAGCTTGTCGGCCTGCTCTTTCAGCTCCAATTGATGGCACTTAATCTGGTCCTACGTATTAACAAAAAAACAATCAATTTTAGTTGCTATTGTGAATTAATAAACAAATCTGAATAATAAATAGTTACAATTCATGCAAGTAAACAACACATTTACTTCCACATGCTATAAAAACAAAAACAAAAGTCACAGTGATCTGTTTTGCTTGCTAATCAATATTTGTCAACCTCGCAAGCTTATAAAATTTAGCATTATAAATAATAAAATTTCTCATAGATCAATCACGGTGAAAGTTATCATTCAGCAAGTTCCGGCGGTTGAAATGTCTAACCATATGGATATCGCGGTGGACTTGAAATAGGAAGTTTTTTATCCAACGACAGAAGAATAATTTTCATGACAGAAATGCAATAGCAGTGATGAAAGATGGTAAAAAAGTTGGCAGTCTTCGGCGTGACATTGCAAAATTACTGGCCCTAGTTATGTATTCGCAAGCCGCTACCAAATAGTTTATAAAGCCAAAATAACGCGATTTCAACCACTCTCCCAGGTACGGGTTGCTACACCATTTATGTACATGTACACATATACTTGCATTGATGCACAATATTTTCATGAGATATGACTTTACTATTATTTTGTAACTATTACATAGTAACATGGACAGACTGTGACATGGTTTGCGAGTAAATGAATAAACTTGCAATTTTGGCAGTTTTGTCAGCTGTATCAGTCTTTGTCTGTTGGAGTTCTGACTGTACTTTTGCTTGATGCCATTGATATTCACTCATTTTCATAGTCATTGCATCTATCTCTTCTTGTAACTGTGGAAAAACAATAAACAAAGTTAGCAGTCAGTATAAAATCCAGGGTTATCACCAGGTTAGTTTCACTGCTAGCTTTGCATAGCATTACCACACCATACCATTTAAGAACCAATGAGGCACAGTAAACCTGCTAGTACATGAGTAACGTTGCATTCCCAGAGATGATGTCAGCGATCTTGGTCATAAGAATGCAAACACATGATTTTCGAAAGAAGTTGTCTATAATGAAATGACAAGTCAATAATATGCAGAGATAGATTTACATTTTATAATTGATTATTATACTTTCAATTCAGTAGCTTAACTGGTAACAAGTATTTCTAATAATAAGGTATGCACCTCAAAAAATAAACAGTTTGAATTAGGCATAATTATGATCTAAAACACACTGAAACGCTGAAAACAATTTTTTTTTTAAATAGTTTTTTGTGCCAGGCGACAGTTCCAGACATGAAATGTCACTGTTGTCTCTCCTGACTTTTTTTTGTATGTGCAAATTGCAAGTGCTAGTGCTTACACATAGTGCATTTTTGCCACAGAAGTCATATTCATGTGTGGGACTACATGACAGGGCTGTGTGGCCATCTCTATCAAATGGCAATTTTAATGTGCTATCCTGGCGTCAACCAGGCTCAGTCGAACACAAGCACCTGCGGACCTTAACTAAGGTATCCCCCAAAGTCGCATTCGTTAGGGAATGAATCTCAGCCAGTGGAATAGGTCTTCCTATTAAGTCTGTGTTACACTCACCCAGGGTAGGGGGGGTCGACCCTTTTGATGTTCAGGTAGGATTTCAACTTGGGTCTATCAGTCATGAGTCTGATGAGACAACCACTAGGCTACCAGTGAACGGTTGACATAACAAAGTTACTGACTGCATATTGACAACTGATTTCACAAGGCATGTTTGTTCATCCACAATATAATCAGTGCTTGGACTTGGACTGGAAATGTATGCAGCATCAATCAACAAAGCAAACGTACAATTATTTGTACACACCTGTTGTAACTCTGGCTCTTTCTCAGCTTTCTTGGCTTGTATTTTATTGATTTTGGTTTTTGCTTCATTAGTAGCACCCAACAACTCAGCTCGCCTCTCCTGTAGTGTAACCTGCGATAATTTTTTAATTAACGGATATTTTTACCAGAACAAAGCTTTGCAATACAACATTACAGAAGATGCAATACAACATGTACACTGGGGGAAAGAGTTAAAAATCTAGAACCCTATTTAGTATTCAATTTTGTTTTGTTTAGAAGCTGTGAAGATACTTTTTACCATACTGGACCGTTTTAGTGCACATGACCGGTCAAGCGTCCACCCGCCCCACTTTTGCGCAATTTTTATATTCGGGGTCACATTTGGCTAAGCGCCCACCTTTTCAAAATGCCACTAATTTAAAACTTGGTCTTTGATCATTGCTTAACGGATACTGGTAATCATTTTTTTTATAAGATACAACGTGGATATCGACCGCCGTGAATATGTTGTGAATGCGTAGACCACAGTAACTATACATAAACTACACTTTGACAATGATCTGTTAATGAAAGGAAAATGTGGTAAATATTTCATGTCATATTCAGTTTACCTATCAAAAATTTACAAGTTACCGTTTTTTGGAAAAGTCAATTCCAACAGATCGTACTCAGACATCGATAATTCACTTCCACATTGCGTTACCAGAAATTCTCCGGGAATTTCCGAGGAATTGTGTCAGCACAATTAGTTAATAGTAGACTTGACCTATTTGGTCATCATGGCGGAAATGTTTTTCATTGAGTGTTTGCATACGATCCAACACATTTGTCAGAGGTGATAATAATGAAGATTTTGACTTTGACTGTGTTCCAGACTCTAATTTGGGTGCTACGTATTTAATAATGTGCGGTAATATTTTTTGTGACGACGCAACTAATTTCGTAATTTTGTTTTCCCTCAAAGACGTAATATCCCCCTCGATTTGTCACATGGTGAAGCAAAGCACAATTGTCATTTTCACTCTTTTCCGAGGGAGGTGCTCGGGTAAGCGCCCACCCTGAAAAATCAAGATTTTCTGAGTAGAGAACCCTGGGCGCTTACAAAGTCCAGTATGATAAATACATGCATTTTTGCATTAGGGTCAAACATAGTAAGAATCAAGAAAATCATGTCCACATTATTAAAATGTACTGTCAAAGTAGTTAACGAGGGATGATAGTGAAAACAAAATAGAACTAAAATTGTCATAAATATTACTTGCGAACTTTTCAATTCGAACAATACCAAACCGTTGACAGATTTTGTAAAGAACTGTTAAATAACTTTGCTAACATTATTGATTTGCATTCCTTCTTGGGGAAGGTAATACACCATTCTCAGTATTAACAATTCAAGGGTATAATATATATATATAAAGAAGATAATTTTTACCATATCACTTTTGATTTTATCATACACTGCTAGCCTATTATCAGTGAATCGCTTCCAGTTTATAAGAGCACTGATAAAGCGACATGTCCGTTTAGGCTCTGTAATAAAAACACAAAAACATTATCAAGGCCACAGTACCCTTACTCTCATGTCCCAAAAAAACATACCCCCCGGACAATTCTTCAAAATCTAATAAACATACCCCCCCCCCCCCGGAATAAACATACCCCTCGAAAAATTTCAAAAATGACCAGTAAATTGTTTCCTTGCTTCTGAAATGTGCTTTCACTGGTGTATATGCGAACTTTTCACTGTTCCTTGTAATTAGGAATATAAATGGACAACAAATGATGCATTTCTAGCTATATACTTCAAATCTCTGTTTGAAAGGCTGCAATATGTAATGAAATAGCAAACCAATCACTACCCGAATCGGCCTGAGAAACTGCGCAATACATACAAAAATGTATGCGAATGAGATATGAGCAGCTCCACCAAATTTTAAAATATTCTTTCCATCATAGTTATGACTCTAATGTGATTTTCCACTCTTTAGCAATAGTAGCTAGTGTATTGTATTATAACTATACCATATCGTATCGTACAAGTTTATTGCGATTCTTTGTGTGTTTGTAATATTATTTAGCTTCATTTAGCATTCTGTTTAGTTGGTTAACTTTACTGTATTTTAATGTAGTTTATTTTATTTTATTTTTATATACGACCAAAAAACAACTCACTGTAGTTTGTTTTAGTGTTGAATAAATATTATAATTAATCAGTCACGGTACAATGGTGACCTATTGTGCGAAATTGTTGCAAGGACAATACTTTTCTCGATTTGCTTGTCGCCGTGTGTCGATAAAAATGCACGGAATGGTCGGCAGTATCTATCAAGTTCGTCCAGGGTGACCTTCGTGGCTGGCGAAAAGCAAGATATCGTATAATCTTTTAAAATAGGCGTCAAGGAGGAGTGAAAGGTATAAATTTGGTTCTATAATAGGCGTCACGAAATGTTGGAAAATTACAGTCAATCAAAAAAAAATATTCACATGACAACAAAAAATACTTTTACTTACTTTTATAAAATTTTGTTGGTAATGAAAAGTATATTCTAAAACAAATGATCATGGTAACAATAGCGGGTCATGCGGTATTTCACAAGTGAATAACTTGCTTGTTTTTGAAGTGTTGCAATTGTTGATTAGTACTCAGTAGTGATTATTATAACATACAAAAAATAAATTCGTTGAATTGTTATGATATGCAAGTAAAATTCAATTTAGTTTCATCATAAGCGAATGATTTCGGTCACATGTAAACACTCGATATCCGCCATGTTATCCATGCACACAAGACGTGTTTATTGACCGGATAGGTTAAGTCGCTAGTTAACCAATCAAAATGCTAGATGGTGCCCACGTGTTCAAATTACCATAGGGCATTTAAATATGTTAATGGACAGTTCAGCCACCTCATGGTAAAAGCAACACGGAAGAGATTTACCGATGTTTTAGTGTGATATTTTGGCTTCGTTTTCCATAGAAAAAAGGCATGATTTTTGTTTTTAAATCAAGATTTTTTTTTAATCGGTCCGATTTAGAAAAATAAATAAACGTACCATCCCGAATAAGAATGTACCAGGTGGATTTTTTCGGGGAAAAAAATAAATGGAAGTACCGGTCTGTTTATTTGGGACATGAAAGTAAAGACTAGTTAACAACTAGCAGCCTGTCGGCTGAGATAGCTCCGCTGTTATCAATGCATATTGCAATTAAAGAACAGAAGATATCATTCGAAAATGAACAATATGTATACAATGTAGTATTAAAGCAATCAGATTTTTTATAACTTTTTATCAAAAATATTCATTAAAATTAGATAATTGAAGAACAAAATCATTGCGAAATGAACAAATCTGAGAGAGGTCTACCTGTATGCGTATGTAGTATATATAATATCAAAGCAATTAGACTTAAGGTTTTTAACAAGAAGTCGAAAATATTACTTTTTACCAAAAATTACAAAAATATTCGTGAAAATTAGAGAATTAAAGATATCATCACGAAATGAATAAATCTGAGAGAGGACTACATGTAGTACCTAGAAATGTAGAATCAAAGCAATTGGACCTGCGGTTTTTAACAAGAAGTCGAAAATATAAATTTTTACCAAAAATTACAAAAATATTCGTGAAAATTAGAGAATTAAAGATATCATCATGAAATGAACAAATCTGAGAGAGGTCCACATGTAGTTCTTACATATGTAATATCTAATCAATCAGACTTGCGGTTTTTAACAAGAAGTCAAAAATATCACTTTTTACCAAAAATGACAAAAATATTCATCAAAATTAGAGAATTAAAGATATCATCACAAAATGAACAAACCTGAGAGAGGTCCACCTAAGGTACCTACATACCAAGTATCAAAGCATTCGGGCTAGTGGTTTTCAAGAAGAAGTCGAAAATATCATTTTTGACCAAAAATGATAAAAATATTCGCTATAAATAAGACAATTGAACATATCCACACAAAATAAACAAATCTTTGAGAGAAGCACCCAAGGTACCTTCCTAGTAAGTTTCACAGCTATACAGTTTGTGGTTTTTAAGAAGAAGTCAAAAATGTAAAGTTGATGACGGTGACGACGGTAAGTAGTATTAGTAATACTACAAGCTCCGCTCGACTTCGTCGACAGCGGAGCTAAAAATGACAAGGTTTTTCCATGTTTCCTACTCTAATATTTAGAAATTTTGTGATCTGACATGTCAATTTGATGCTGATGAAGTCATTGGATTTGTAAAAAATTATGATTTAGTGCTTTTTACACGAGAATTGGATATTGGGCAGTCATATTGGATCAATTTACAAAAATAATGTTCATGTTGATGTATCTATTGGTATACTGTCTTTGTACAAAATTTAAACAGAAACGTTCATTGCATTCAAGAGAAAGTAGCAGTTGGACATATTTGTTCCAATCACGAAAAAAATATGACGTGCCAAATATAACCCAAATATGTATGATCATCATATCAAGTTTGATCCAAATCGGCCCAGCCATCTCGGAGAAACTGCTGCGGACACGTTTAGGTATCAGAAATAGCAAATGTTACATCCAAAATGGCCGCCTATCGCCGATTTTAAAGTAACTTGACACGCATATGTAAGACATTATGTATTGTCTTCATGTAAAGTTTGAATGAAATCTGTCAATGGGTGTACGTACAGACGGACTTCGTCACAACACAAATCAACATTCCTAAACAATACATTGGCAATTTGGTCAGCGGGCTTTTTAGATATAGCAGCAGAATTATTCAAAGTTAAAAATTTTGTTGTAAGACATTTAAAGAACAAGCAGCCTGTCAGCTGAGATAGCTCCACTGTTAGCAATGCACATTTCAATGAAAGAACTGAAGATATCATTAGAAAATGAACAATATGTATAGAATGAAAGCAATCGGACTTGTTGTTTTTTTAACAAGAATTCAAAAATATCAGTTTTCACAAAAAATGACAAAAATATTCACTAAAATTAGAAAATTGAAGATATCACAAAATGAACAAATCTGAGAGAGGTCCACATGTAGTACCTATATATGTAGTATCAAAGCATTTGGACTTGTGGTTTTCAACAAGAAGTCGAAAATATCACTTTTTACCAAAAATATTCATCAAAATTGAAGATATCATCATGAAATGAACAAATCTGAGAGAGGACCACATGTAGTACTGTACCTATACATATAATATCAAAGCACTTGGACTTGCAGTTTTCAACAAGAAGTTGAAAATATCACTTTTTACCAAAAATTACAAAAATATTCTGATTTCATCAAAATTGAAGATACATTTTGTATCATGAAATGAACAAATCTGAGAGAGGTCCACATGTAGTACTGTACCTATACATACATTTTGTATAATATCAAATCACTTGGACTTGCAGTTTTCAACAAGTAGTCAAAAATATCACTTTTCAGCAAAAATTACAAAAATATTCATCAAAATTAGAGAATTGAAATTAACATCATGAAATAAACAAATCTAAGAGAAGCCAAGGTACATATACACAAAGTATCAAAGCATCCAGGCTTGTAGTTTTCAAGAAGAAGTCGAAAAAGTAAAACATTGACATTGACTCATATGATAAAAACTCCGCTCGACAAAGTCTACAGTGGAGCTAAAAATTCAAATCCACATTTGATCATCACTAAGACTAACGATGAGTTCAAAGTCCATCAAGATTAATATATCTGATACTTTAGACTAGAAATTGGATGGAGGCTTTTTGCTATTTTGGATAAAAATAGCAGGCTGCCATTCTGGAGTTTTGTTGGTTGGTTGCAGAATTAGGATGTCTGAATCGGGACAGATTTCAGTACTGCTCCTTTCCAGGACAGCTACATCTTGATGCAAAGGGTCATTATATAAACAGAATATAAGAGGTCTGAATGAATGAGTGAATGAAATGCACATATCTTGACGCAGATGTTTTTTTAAAGAAAGTCCTGGTAAATAGAATTACAGAAAATTCTCTCCCATTTGGGACCCATAATAATTTCAAAATTATGGTCCCTAACTAGTCTGGGAAGTGGAATTTGTAGTTAATGAAATCCAAATTAACTGAAATATACTTACTTGGGCAAGTTAGATCCCAAATCTTGAAATCAGTTGCTCCACAAGATGATAAACAGCGCTTCCTACAGGGGAAAAAGAAAAGGAAAAAAATAGTTACCAGTACTCTATAAGGTAAAAGTAAAAGGGAAACGTACACCAAAATTGTATCACTTGTATATTGGATCATTAAAATATAACTTATTTTTTATGCAAGGTACTCAATGATTCTCCATACATTTTAGTCACTACTTAAACTTACATGACCAAGCTGAAGCTGACCAATGGGAAAGAGCCTTCATGTAGCTCTGGGTGCTCCGCATGATGGAAACCATGAAAAGGCTGCACATTGAAACTTTCTGGATGAACAGGCATATTGGATACTGCTAAGAGATCAGTGTACAGCTGACGAATTTTGCTTGGCTGAAAAAAAAATTAATTTTCCAATTTTGATGTAAAAAGTTCATACTTTAGAATTCCAGGGGCTTCATTAAGGTAGATGCCTACTCATGATTTCAAAAACCCAGAATTTCTTCATTTTTTAATATATTGTACTTCCAGGCAATATAAGAATATTGACCTTGAAAAAAATGGGGGTCACCAGGTTAATTTTCGAGAAAATCATGGTTGTATTTTAGTGGATAGCTGCCATTTTGGCAGTTGTATAGTGCTTTTACCATAGGTTCCTATGGCAGAGATATTATGCCATATTTCAAATTGTAGACTGGTGACATAGGCTGAAAAAATAATATATTGTTAGTGATGGCCTACTTTTTGTTTTCCTGAATTTTTTCAAAAATCAAGGTTTTAAAAAGTGTTGAAAAATGCAATTTTTGTTTAACATTGCGCTCTATGGAATTGTTCTAAAAATAGCTATTTTTGAAAAAAAATTAGTACAAGTTTCTCAAAATACATCACTGTAACACACAAAAGAATGCTATTTGATAGTGCCATGAGACAATAGCTTCATGATTTTACATAATAAACCAATGAACATTGTCATGCGATTTGTGACCAAATTTCTCAAAAAATATGAATAGGCTTCTACCTTAAAGTGCCGGTGCAATGCCCACCCTCACGTTTCCCATTTTAGATCTGTGTCCCACTGAAATGGGCAGTTATTGATTTTTTTGCTGAAAACGATTACTCGTATCCAAGTAAATTTGGGATATTGGGATATTTCTCATGTTGTAGCCACGCCAATCTATCCTGAAACGGTCGCCTGTTTCCGGATTTACGACTCTCACCGAAAGTGCGCCACCAAATGACAAAATGTGAGAAGAAGTCATACCCCTGGTCATTCAGTATACTTTTAAACGATATACATTTTTCGATCGGCGTTGTTTTTTTTTTTGTTTTTGTTTTTGTCTATTTTATTTTTTTGAGAGGGAGTTTTTAGATGTTGTGTTGTGGGCAGTTGCAGTGAAACGTATAGTCATAGTGTAAGTATTCACACGTTTCTAATCGACCCCAAGTGCGACATCAGTGGACGAAAGCCACTTAACCTCAGATTCTTTTTTTTTTGAAAAACTGTCCTCGTACATGAAAAAACAACTAGGTTTAAAGAGAACGCCGA